GGCGGCACTCATGTCTTCTGTGCGGGCCCGCTGGATTTCCTTTGAACTCTTTTTCATCATTACTTTATGCAGTAGTTGTCTTCGTGTTGGTTGAAGGGAAAGGAAAAACACAGGAAACCAGTCTTTCGTTTCTAAATTAAAGCTCTGCTGTGCTGATTGCTCAAATGGCTTTTCAGAGGCAAAACAAGTGGGAACACTAAAATTCCTTGTTTCTACAGACCACGAACTGGGCCCGCCACCACTACCGTCACTTTTTTGTAATTCTCAGTGGTAAACAGAGCAGGTTTCAGTGTATTTTGCAGATACTTTAAATCAGTGGTTCTCAGCTTGTGAGCCAAGACCCCACAGGGGCAAAGAACCTTTTTGGAGGGATAACCTAAGACCATTAGAAAACACAGATACTTACATTAGGATTCATAACAGTAACAAAATTACACTTATGAAGTAGCAACAGAAATAATTTTATGGCTGGGGGTCAGTCAACACAACGTGAGGAACTGTATTAAAGGGTCGCAGCATTAAGAAGTTTGAGAACGGCCGCCTTAAATGGTCTCAGGGCATTGTTTTGTTTGTTGTTTTCCAGTTTCATTGCCATTTAGAGAAGATAACGGACGAGAAAAAGGGAAAATACAGGCAAAGGATGCAATGAGGGACTTATTGTCATGTAATTTCTGAACCTGGAGAAGTTGAGTCCTCAACCTTCCACACTTTTCTGGATAGCGAATCCAGGTTGGGATGTTAAACCCTCTGAAGTCCCGCCCTTTTTACACTGCCCTGTGCTGCCTCTACCGTTAGATGGGGAAACTGCAGGTAAAGGCGAGAAGGCAGTGGATTAGGGAGGGTAATGTCGTGAGTTGAACCTGAGTTCAACTGCTTGAAATTTTGTTTTAACTGAAAAGAAAAAAGAAAAAAAGAAAAAAAAATCAGCACTCTTGTTCTAAAATGAGAGAGCTAAATAGCTACCGCTGAGTACCTACGAAACTCAAGGACCGCTCTCGAAAACATAGCTCGATCTCCCCTCCCCCATCTCGTTCCTCTGATGGAAGGGTCTGTCACCCTAAAACATCCTGAGCGGGCTCTTTTACAAAAGACGCTCTCATCTACCTCTCAGGGGTTCCTTTCCACCTTTTCTCTCTCTCGTCGTGCGGCCAAGCCACACTGGCACTTTATGTGGACAGGACGACAACCCACTTATGCTCGCGTACGTCCGGAGGACCATCCCTGCCACCCCTTCTTAGCTACACACAGTGGGAAGACCCTCGAGGATAGGTTGGGGGCGGGGGCACGTGCCTTTGGAGGCGCTGGCGCACAGCTAGTAGAAACCGAGAAGGAAATCGAGAGTGTCTGCTGCCCTCGTGGTGGCGCGAGTGCGGACACCGCACGCGTCTGCCGCTGCCCTGTCCGGGTGACAACTGGCTGAGTCCCCCACCGGGGACCGTGATGCTGCGGGCGATGGGTAAAGGCAGCGCTGCGGGCCTGGAGGGCGGCGCAGAGGGCGGCGCTGGCGGCGTGAAAGGCGCCTTTGTGCAAGCCCGGGTGTAGGACCCAGGGAGAGGAGAGAGCTGACCGAGACCTGGAGTCGGGGGACAGAGGCGTCCGGTACTCAGCCGTCGGATCTCCAGCAGGATAGTCGGGTAGCGCGGTGGAGATGGTCTGAGGCGGTGGCCAGGGCCGGGAGTGGGAAGAAAGCAGTTTCGAGGAAGCTGGGGAGAGGGACTTGTCTCCCCGCCCTCTCCCCCTAGGTGGCAGAGGCCCCGCTGGCTAGCAGGGTGCAACCACTGGCCCCGGAGCTCACTCCGGAACCGGCATCTGGAGAGCGGCCCCCGGGTGGAGCCGCCCGCCTGCCGCCCACCTGGGGCAGAGCGGCGGGCGGGCGCGGCGAGGCCTCCCTTCTGCGCCCCGGCCGCGTGGCTTGCGGCTTATTTTCCCAGCTGGCAAGCGTCGCGCTGCAGACAAGGGAATGCCTGTGGTGAGTTGTTTATTTTGTTGAAGTTTGCGGTGGGCCAGGAGGACGTGGGGGGCGAGCGGCAGGCAGCGGCGGGGACTGTTTTGTTTAGGTCTCGGTCCACCTGTGTGGTATAAATCTGCCAGACTCGGGGTGGTGGGGCCCAGGGTGAGAAAGCCCTGGCGTTCCAAAAGCTCCTGACCACGTTTCATTCGCAGTGCCTGGAACTGACTAGAGTCAACGCAGGCTGCCACCCCCGACCCCCAGCTTTCTATGGACTCTTCCCAAGGGACCGTCGTTGCCCCTGACCCGAGGACAGCTGGCCATTGAAGTTTCCCCAGCTTCCCTTTCCCACTTCTTGAGGGCAATGGAGTTGAGGATTTGATGTGAAAGGAGAACAAGAAGAGAGAGAAAACTTGTCCTGGGGTTTTTTGGTGTGAAGTTCGTTCAGGGGTGTTGGATCAGCCTGCTTCTACAAACTGGGATCCTGGGCTGGCCAGTTTCCCAGATTAGACTGGTGGAGGGCTAGTGACTGGCTCCTGAGGGAGCCCGTAGGAACCCCTGGGGCTGATGTTAGTCACAGCCTCAGCTTCGTTTGCCTGGAAGAAAAGCCTAAATACATTAGTGAGAGGGTAAAGCTTTTAAGGCCTTCTTGGGAGTGAGTGGCTGGCTAATGAGAGGTTAATTTTGTTTCGAAGGGAAGGCTGCGCTGGTTTCCTGAGATAAATGGACAGGAAGCGCATTACCTCCAAGCACTGGCAAGCGGCTCCCAAATGCTTTTTGCACCTGCTGCTTCTCTAGCCCTGCGAGCCAGAGGCGAGCCGCACTGGAGTCTGTAGGGATCGAGGGGCCTCGGCTTTAAGCGCGGGTTATGAACCTCCTGCCTTCTGCTCTCTGCGGTCTCTGTCTCCTGGGGCTCAGCGCTTACACAGAGCCCTCGGGCTCTTCTCTTACACCTAGGTCCTGCGTGTTCCGGAGCTCGGGGGCATCCTGATCCCGCTGAGCCCCTTCCAGGTGCGGAAGGGTTAAGAATGATGTAAGTACAAGCCAGGAGCTACACGCCTCTGGGCTCCTGACTCTGGGCTATTCCAGCCTGATTTTCAAACACTGTGGAGCAATGAGCTGCAGGGGAACCCTTACTCCAGAATGGGTTGCACAAATCTCTTACTGCAGGCTTCTCGGTCCTGGGTGAGCTGTTAAGCAGAGATCCTCATGTTAGGTTTCTGAATATGGAGATACAATACCTGGGGAACAGTTAAGACACCACGTAAGGGTTCAGGAAATGAGACTTCATCGTGTTTAGAATCTATTAACGTTTCTGGCATCCGTTTTAATTTTACCCATTTGCATGTCCATGGCGTGGTATACTTTGCTGGGTCCTCTGGATGTACAGTTCTGGTTTCATCATTCCTTCTTGGGGGGCGGGGGGAGAGAAAGAATTCAAGTGGTAAGACACAGGGTGGATTTTTGGGTTGCTCGAGTTGCCAATCACCTCATTTTTTTCCTAATTAAAATGTAAAACTTTTAGAATCATCAAAATTTTGTTCTAGCTTCCTCCCTGGGTGTTCTCTTTGCACAGTCGCAAATTCTGCTTAAACTTGCCGCACACAAGCTTGAAAAGTGACGGCTCTATAAACAATCACGCAACATGCCCTTGATTTCGAAGCTGATTTCAAATCTTGCTAACAGTCCAGATTCACCCCCCGAGTGTGTCGATGGACCTAATGTCATAAAAATAGAAACCACCTTGTGGTTTAATTGTAATTAATTTATATATATATATATATATATATATATATATATATATATATATTCTCTAGCAGCTGAACACTTACGCAGTAATAAAAAGTGAATTGTTAGGCATACAAGTCTTAAGCTTGTCAAATTTTACAACAGAGGAGCAATAAAACACCTTAGAGATGACTATTTTCCTCTGAACAGCTTTTTTCTTTAATCAGGATTCTCAGCAACTCGAGGGTGCCCTCTACTGATAAGACTATCTAAAGCCCCACGTGTTTCTAAAAATCGAATAGTGCAGAGGAAAGTCATCAGCAGAAAGATCCAAACCAAACTGAATGTATTGATCCTTAACTTTTTGGTTATATGAAGTTTGATAGTAACATAAGTTACCTTTGTGGGGTATAATTAAATATTGGGGTAAGAAAACTACATTTTTGCTGTTAGTCAGCTAGCTAAAAGCACTTAAAAATCTTTATGTGTAAGAATGTTTTGCCTGTATATATTTCTGCGCACCCTGTGTGTGTCTGATGGCTATGAAAGTGAAGGGAATTCAGATCCCCTGGAACTAAAGTTATAGACTGCTGTGAGCTGCCAGTGGGCACTGGGAAGACTATGCAGGCCCCCTGGAAGATCTTTCAGTGCTCTTAACCACTGAACCATCTCTCCAGCCCCAAGCTGCTCTTAACCACTGAACCATCTCTCCAGCCCCAAGCTAAAAGAACTTTTAAGAAGAGTATCATGTGATCACTCTTTCAAAGATATTTATTAGTATTTTCTGAACTGCATTTCGTGGATTACATGTAGTAACTGCAAGATGATTTTAAAAAATTTGCTCTGATAGCATTTAGTATACACCATTAAGTAAAATTGTCAGAGATATTCCAACCCTCCCCCCCCCGGTGAAAAGTCATTTCTCCAGGCAACGCTAAAGCTATTATTAAGCATATTAAAGATAGACATAAGGCTTGGATTATATCTTGGGTAGTGAAAGGTGTGTTTACCACTTGAGTCATCCCGACACGTAATAAGTAATGAAAAATTATAGTAAAAACAGATAGGTCTCTTTCATTAGGGACCTAGTGGTTTGAAGAATTCACAATGTGTCTAATGAGTGAGATGGTGAGACCTAAAGGCTTGCCCCCCAATTATCGTGGTCCATTGATTAGCACATTGTAGCATGTGGAATATTAATGTGTCTGTGGTTGATAGGAGATTTCTAATTAGAGATTCTGAGTAATGTAGCAGGTAAAGTTGCAAACTGTAATTTAGATTGCAGTAAGTGCATTTTAAATGGCAATCCTCAACCGTTTGGGGAATGGCAGAGGCAAGGGGAGGGTAAAGTGGTTCCTAGCCCTGACGCCATATTCCAGAGGAGATAGCACTTCACACTAACTGATAACAAATTGGTACCTGTCCTTAACTCCACAAGCCCTTTCCTAACCCTTGGCGATTGTTTGTGGGGTTTTGCCCCTGGTTTTGGAGGACAACTCAAGTAGAAACAGACCTACCATTGGCTTAATTTAATAGACTGGATATTTGTGGAAAAGTCACTGAGCAACAAGAAATCATGGCAATAATTGCACTGCATAAAAACTCACCACTCTCATTAATCTAATTACCTTGTAACCGAACACGTTGAAGTTTGCCCAATCCCTGACTCCCGCTCTCAGCTTTGAAGTGGGGGTGAGGGGGTTGTCAAAGAAACCAAAACACCAGCGCCTCACGCAGCTGCCGGCGAATTCCGCCGGGAGCACGCAGGTACCTTCTCATTTCATCCATCTGCTGCGGACTTCGGGTGTCATTTGAGTATCTAAGGCGGCTCGGCTGGACTCTTGTTTTACCTAGAGACCCCGACAAGTTTGCTAAGATGTTCAGCAGATGTGATTGGCTGGGGGGGAGGGAGGGCGGGCGACCTGCTTGCTACCCAGAGCTCAGGGAAAGTGCTGGCTTCCTGCAAGCGGCTGGAGCCAGCGGGGCCGGGAAGAGAAGGAGAAGGTCATTAAAAACCAACAACGAACAAAAAAACTAGGAGGAAGCTGAACCTGAGCTCATTAATTCAAGGAGAGGTTAAAGGCCGGTTCTCCTGGAACGCGGGCCAAGCGAAAGTCGCTGTCGCCCATTTCTATTGGGTACCAGAAAGCCGTGATCAGGGGGAAAAGGGGTGGAGGAGAAAAAGCACAAGGAAGCCGGCAGGAGGCTGGGCCCTAACGAAGCTGCCCCACCCGCGGGCGGCGGACGCGGAACTTGAGTGAGACGCACAAGGGCGGTGCGGGGGCGGGAGGCACGCTTGCAGCCAATGGGAAGGGGAGGAGGAGTGCGGCCGGGGGGCGGGGCCTGCGCGGATTGGTGAAACTCGGTGGGGCGGGGCGAGAGTGAGGGACCGAGATTGATTGACCGCGCAGGCCACGGGCGCGGAGCTCTCCGGGCCGCTGGCTGCCACGGCTGGTGAGGTCCGGCCGATCCACACGCGCCGAGCCCACACCAGCTGGGGGCCCGGCTGCCCGCGAGCGCGCGGCCACCGCCGCCGCCCCCGCAAAACAATCGCAGCCCCCCACCCGCCCCCCGCCCCACCGAGTTTCACCACTCCG